TCCGTCCATAACTTTTTCAGTTAGGCTGTACACAAACCCACAAACCAACAAACCAACAAACGAACAAACACACGCCGGTGAAAGCATAACCTCCTGCCAACCCCTTGGCAGAGGTAATAATAAATATAACAAACATAATCACATAAACGGTTAAACCACAACTGCCTCGCGCACATGCTCACTTGTCGCACGCATGCTCACTTGTCGCACGCATGCTCACTTGTCGCGCGGATGCTCACCTGTTTGGCGTTGCGGGAACCGCGGATCTGGGTGAGTCGGTCGACCTGCTGCTGCCGCACCTGACTGTTGTCAATCGTTAGAACCTCAACACTGTCCTCCTTCTCCAACTTATACTTGTTCACACCGACAATCACCTCTGAAACACGCGTGCAAGAGAGATGCGGTGATAGAGGGCGCCACGGCCGAGACAAGAGAACGTCTACGATCACCTCTGAAACGCGTGCGCAAAAGAGATGCTGTGATAGAGGTCGCCACCGCCGAGACAAGAGAACGTCTATGATCACCTCTAAAATGCGCGCGCGAGAGAGAGAGACGCGGTGACAGAGGGCGCCACGGCTGAGACAAGAGAACGTCTATGAGTCAAGCGGCACAGGGGGATGGCTTCGTAAGTTTGATGAGACTCTTACAAGCTGTGGGTGTTGCAGGAGCAGCAGGAGGAAGAGAAGGAAGGAGACAGAAGGAGGGAGAAACAGGAGTAGGAGGAGGAGGGATGGAAGAAAGAGGGAGGGAGGGAGGGAGGAAGGAGGAGGGGAGGTACCCACCGTGGTTACTGTCTATCCTGGCCTGCCTCCGCGCCGCACACTCCTCCACCCTCAGCTTAGGCATGAGTAGGAGGAGGGAGGGAGGGAGGGAGGAGGAGGGGAGGTACCCACCGTGGTTGCTGTCTATCCTGGCCTGCCTCCGTGCCGCACACTCCTCCACCCTCAGCTTAGGCATGCCGCTGGCGACAGCTTTCGCCATGCCTCCCATCTCCTCCACCTCATCGATCACTTTCTTCGCAGCTTCGTAAACCTCGTCCGTCAGCGTCTCCATGAGGAACGATCCGCCCCACGGGTCCGCGACCTACGTAAACCAATCACGACGATCAACACCGGCGCCACCTATGCGGAGTATATAGACCGATCCCTGCAGAGCATCCACCTACGCTGACCAATTACAATTCGTAATCAACCCTTCACACCAATCACAACTCACGACCAAAATTCACAGCTCGAAATTTCAGTCAATCACATCTCGTGTGAGAGAATCACTGCGGTGACAACAAGTCAATGTCGCGCAGTACTGGTGTAGCAACCAGAGGCGTGTTCAGGAGAGCGAACGCTCGCCTTCTGAACGACACTGCGTGAGCGAGCACTCGCAAGCTTTAAAGGCTGTTCGTATACCTTGGCATTGCTATAAGATAGAAGCATATATCAGATGTACTGTATGCTAACATACATGTATACATTATCCATAAAGTACGGTATGGCAGTGTATAGTAATGGTTGCTATTTTCGAATATATAGAAAATTCGACGCATCGCGCTTTGCAAAATGTGAGACCGGCTCGTCACTATGAATGCCGGTAAATCGTAGACGCGGCAGGTAGGAAGAGAGGTGTGGGGTGACCTTGGTTATCCCGGACTCCTCCTGTATTATGATCTGTGTGTTACGAGCGATGCGTGCGCTGTGGACGGTGGGAAGACCCAGCGCCTCGTCGAACGCGTTCGTGTGCAGGGACTGAGTGCCGCCGAACACCGCTGCCATCGCCTCCACCGCCGTGCGCACAACGTTATTGTACGGGTCCTGAAACACACGTTATTGTATGAGTACTGTAACATGTTATTGTATGAGTACTGTGACACGTTATTGTACAAGTACTGTAACAAGTAATGTGTTATCGTATGATACTGTAACCCCATAACACGTGAACTATTCTATAGAACCAAATACAACCAACAATATAGACTATATATATATATATTATACGATAATATAATTTATTATTTTATAATATATAATAATGCAATGATATGACACAATAATAAAAAATATAATATA